TTTTTCGAGATCCGTTCAGCAGTTTAGGCTACAAACTTTAACAAATATCCATCCACCGGTAGAGGTAGAACTAGATGATCAAGGGAATGACTGAGATAACGGATGATAGAGTTATCTGGAGGACCAAAATTTCCGCCGACCCTAAGGGAGTAGGATAAGGTAGAGACGATGTTGATGATGAAATAGAATTCTTCACCTGTAGTTATAGATTGCCAAACAATATAAAGCTTTAAAGCGAAACTCCTATAATAATTATCATCACTGTACTCTGGCTTATAATGGCGTAATATGCTAAAGAAGCGTTAGTCGTGTCGAAGTGTTTACACTGCATGTTTACGATGTACACGAGATTCTGTCGTAAATGATTAGGTCGTTAGGAAATCACTACATTAACATACTAGCTTTTACTCGTGACTTCGTCCGCACAGAATTTAAATAAAATTATTAAGTACCCAGAGTCTGTTGTTACCAAATAGTAATTTGTCAGATAACAATCCAACATGTAAAATATGTGATGAAAATATCGGATTTTCAGTTCACCTTCCCATCATTTCTACATTACTTTTTATACTAAGAGCGCGCGCAAACGATTGACTAAACTATCGGACAACTGTTGTGCGATTGTCGATTGTTTCGCAGCCTTCAACTGATTCCTATGAGCTTATATGGAGCGCACACTACTCGATTTTTAGTTTTGTAACTAAACAGTTGAATTGGCTGCAAAACAATCGACAATCGCACAACAGTTGTCCGATAGTTTAGGTCAATGGTATACATGTGCTCTTACTGAGGACAAATTAGACTTTTTGATAACATTTTTGTATTACACAGCCTAACTAAAATAAATGCTTGCGTAATTAACTTACCAGTACGAATATCTGATACCTGATTCACGTTTACTTCATACTAATATTATAAATGCGAAACTTTAGATGGATAGATGGATGTTTGTTAGAGTTTGTAGCCAAAACGGCTGAACGGATTTCGATGAAATTTGGTATCGATGTAGAGGATAGTCTGGAAGAACACATAGGCTACATAGTTTTTTTTTATTACACGCGGACGGAGACGCGGGCGACAGCTAGTATTTCATAAAATTCTGATCGTTTTGTCAACGAAGTTTTTATCACTATAAAATTCATTAATGAATGAACCGGTTTTAGAGACAATTACATCAAAGGCCTTGGCTCTGCGTTTCCTTTGTCTTTTTAAAGTGTTCGTCACGTAAACGACAAAAAAATAATTGCCACAGATCAGTGGTTACCAACCTTAAGGCGGAACAATTAAATATTTTTGCAAGGTTTTCCATTAAAACAAAACACCGAATAAAATGCATAATGCCATATTGAAGCAACTTGTAATAATTCCTTAATAAGTAAATTATAGTTAATTAGACTTTCAGTTAGCTTAAAGTACTAAGTAAAAATAAACATAAAAACCTTACATACATACAGTTAAACAGTGCATTTTTCAAATTTCCTGCGTTTAGTACGTGATAATATTAAAACTAAATGAATATTAATTAACAGAATCCCATGATTGTGAACCTCTGACACTTGACTGTCGTCACATCGAGGTTGTAAGTTACGATTGATTTGTTCTTGAAACTTGTTAGAATTAATAAAGCAAAAATTGTAAAATATACAAAAGTTAATTAAAATATTATTAACACTAACTACACTACGATATAAAAGCACTATAAAAATCAATGTAACTACTGACTACTTATTTACACTAAAAACTACTCTTACTAGGAATAGGAATCTTACTAATATTATAAATGCGAAAGTTTAGATGGATGTTAGAGTTTGTAGCCTAAACTGTTGAAAGGATCTCGATAAAATTTTGCGTAGATTTAAGCAATAGTCTGGAGAACATAGGCTTTTTACATTTGTTTTTTCATTCCACGCGGACGGAGTCGCGGGCAACTCCTAATCTATATCAATACTAATATTATAAAGAGGAGAGGTTTATATTTTAAATGTATGAGATTTACGCAAAAACTACTGAGCCGATTTTAAAAATTCTTTCACCATTAGAAAGGTAATTTATCTGTGAGTAACGTTGGCTATTTTCATTATTCTATGCAGACGGAGTCACAAGCAACAGCTAAAGTTAAGATATAGCTGTTAACATTGCTTCTATTCAAGATACGTCAGTCGTCAACATTAGTTAGTAATTGGTGACCCATCCGCCCGCATACAAGTCACCAGACATCGGCCGATGTGTCCGGACATGTCCAGTTCACAGGCAAACCAACGTAAATACATACATCGGAACCCGGCCTTTGAACTGATAGATATCAAAAGTTTATAATAATATAAAGAAGGGAGTGATGACTGAGATGACGGATGATAGAGTGCTTTGGAGGACGAAAACCCGGTGCGCCGACCCTACTGGAGTAGGATAAGGCAGGGGAGATGATGATATTACCGTACTCAGAATTGTTAAAAGATCCTTTAATATTAATTTATTATGAGTCATATACACTAGACGACTGTTTGAATATCCTAAATTAGTTAGTTTTAGACGCAGCATAAAAAATTATAAGACATGAACCAAGACCTATCTTTAAGACCTTTTTCACTAGACTTCAAGGTTTTAGAGTCACGTCTCGTGAAAATTTCAGCTTATAGAAAACAATAGCGGTAAGTATCGGGTCATATATCATTGGGTCAACGTTGCTTCTTATATCTAAAGTAAAACTGGTTAAAAGCGGTTTAAGACGATTGTTTAAGGTCTACTGGCTTCAGACGTATCAAAAATCTTCACAAACGTAACAACGCAACGCAGCATAACAAAATTATTTGCTCTACCGACCATCCCCTGACTAACGGGATACGAAATTAATTCTTATTTAATGGGTAGGAAATGTTGTAATTGCGTGAATTTTAACTATATTAGACCAACAAATCTTGATCATTTTCACTTCACCTGCTATAAAGGCTTAGATCTAAGTTTTCTGGTTTAATTGAACAGTCGAAGTGTTGAGTTAAAACTGTACAGTTCACACATAATATATTTTTTTATTATTTTATAAGGTGGCAAACGAGCAAGCGGCCACTTGAAACCGCCGAAATCGCGTAGTGACCGCTGCCCATAGACATCTGCAATTGCAGATGCCTACCCTTAATCGACGGTGAAAGGAGACGCGCATAAAGAGGATATTTCTTCTTCCTATGCGTCTCCTCTACAGGCAAATCCACTTTTCCTTTCCATCCGTCGCTCTTAAGAAAAGGGTGGAAAGGAAAAGGGACCAAAATTAGGCCTGCGGCACCACACTCATCAGACGAAACGCGGAATTGCTTCCATTTCACGCCTGTCTTCTGTGTGGTCGTGGTATTGCACCGGGCGAGCCGGCCCATTCGTGCTAAGATGTTAAAGCTGGCTCTACCACTTTTAAACACATAATAGATCAGGTTAATATTGCCACGTAATTAACTGGTGACAGTTGATGTTTTAAAATGTATCTTATGTTTTAATTTACTTCAAAAGAATCCTAAATAATCTCATGTTTACAAAAACAACTGAACTAAATAACTTGTAGAGCGTAACTTAGAGACAACTTAAATTTCCCCTAAAGGTAATAAAAATCACTTAAGAAATATTTTTTCTATTGTTTTTACCTCAACAATTAAGAAATACCGTTAAATAAGAAACTATAGTTTTTACCGGTGAAATTAAATCTAACAGTGGACTTTCACTGTCGAAATTTCTATTTATAAAAGACTAGACGTTACTCGCGACTTCGTCCGCGTGAAATTAAAGGAAACAATAAAAAACATAGCCTGTTATTGATAACATAGCTTTTTAATGTTGAAAGAATTGAAATCGGCCCAGTAGTTTCTGAGTTATTTTAATATATACAAAAATAAAAATCATTCATCTTTATAATATTAAGCTTTTACCGTAGAATTAAAAAAAATCTTAGTATTCATTATGTCCTACACAGATTTTAAATAAAATCCATGATGACTTTTTTTTATAGGGACTTTGGTTTCTTAGAACATGTCGGTCTCAAAAATGATTAACAGTGGTAGTGCCCGCTTTAACATCTTAGCACGAATGGGCTGGCACGCCCCCAGTAATACCACGACCACACAGAAGACAGGCGTGAAATGGAAGCAATTTCGTGTTTCTTTTTACCACTCTTTTCTTATAAGAAGAGGTTGGGAAGAGGAAGTGGATTTGACAGTAGAGGAGATGCATAGGAAGGGGAAATATCCTCTTTATGTGCGTCTCCTCCTCCGTCGGACAAGGGTAGGCAACGCATCTGCAATTGCGGATGTCTATGGGCAGCGGTCGCTTCGCCATTTTGGCGATTTCAGGTGGCCGCTTGCTCGTTTGCCACCTTATGTTATAAAAAAAAAATGATATGACTTAGTTTAAGATCCCGCTTATCTTAACAACTGTCATAAAGACATGGGAGATTTGATACCATTAGAGGTGTTACGTATTACGGTGTTATCACAGGATGTGAAATATTAAGTTAGTTCGTTCAAGAAACTTCGTTGTTACATGCCATAGAAAAGTGAAGAAAGAAATTATAATACCATAAAAAGACAAAATCTAGATATTTATTCTAACATTAATTTACACTTTAACGAGTATTAAGTTATTTAAAAAAAACACGCAAAGTGTTAATCGCAAAATTGTCGTTTATAGTCTAGGAGCCATCGACGGGTGTCTGTTTCGGTTGTAATACTTACATTGAAATAAAAATTAGTAGTATTATTTCGCAACATTTTGTTTAGTCACGATTGTAACACTAACATACGAGTCTCATATCTACAGGTCAATGATCTTACTAAAATTGCTGGTAATAGTAAACTCGATATTTGATAAACGAATCTTCAAAATTGCATCGATACCAAAAATATTTGGATTTTACTAGAAAAGTAGAAGTTATTAGTCGACAAATTATTACTTAGGGAGTCCCTTAGAGAATTAATACTAGAAATCTTTACGCTTATGACACTAATTAGGGTAATAGAACTCACCTTAAAGCACTTCCTTGTTCCCGTACGTCGACACCATTGATAACATCATCGCTCCTTGTCGGCAGACCCGACATCTTAACGCGGGAAGTCTCCGCCAATCAGAGGCGAGATCACGTCATCGCGTCACCAAATCGACCAATCACAGCCCAGGAAATGACCCGCTCGTATCTGCAAAGATTTGAAGCAATTTAAATTCGGAACGCGGATTACCGACTTATCCAATATGGCGAAAGGAAGTTACATTTCGCGCGTGCCGTTACGTAACTGTTAAATATAGAGTAACATTTTCCGTCTCTGTTGCACTGAGTATATTAGTAAGAGATAATATACATTTTTATATTTTTATACCGTTAAGGGTTTAAGAACATAGTCATGTAGGTTAACCATACCATAAGTGCGTTCAAAAGTCAGTTCGTCCCATTTGTAACGTTTATTCAAAACAGTTATAACAGTTATCGAAATAGCTGTTATATTACATTCAAAGTCGTTAACTTTATGGGAATCATTCAAGAGAGGAAGTAAAACAGTTTTTTATGATTCTTACAAAGTAAAAATAATGTTTGTATTTATAGGGGTATCCTAACTGTTAGAACACTAACATTTTTTTTAATATCTTATCACCTGTACTAAAAGATATCTTTATTTCTGTCTTTTACAAGAGATATTGATTAATACCGATAATTTATTACATAGGCAGTGAGATATCTTTTAAAAACATAATATTAATTAATAGGTGTACAGACAGCAAAGCAAATCAGATTTAAATCACAATTAAAATTTAGCTTTATTCGGTCGAAATAAGCTTTAATATGTCTGAACATTTTTGGCTAAACTATCGCACGACTGTGTGATTGTCGATTGTTTCAGACCTTCAACTGTTTAGTTGCACAACTAAAAATCGAGTAGTGACCCTCCATACAAGCTCATAGGAATCTAAGCAAGACTAAACAGTATGCGATAGTTAAATCAAAGGTGTGTGCACTCTAAATGTTTACTTCTCGTATTTACAGACCTCAATCTTGGAGGATATTACGTGAACTACATAACACGGACTCACGGAGACTAATAATTACATTTGTTCATATAACTCTTGTCGATTACGTCAGCTTTTAAATAAACTAACTTCCAACTCAAACTGTCAATTACATGTTTAGTATCAAACATAAATCAATTTAAACTAACTCTTATGTTTTAAACAATAAAGTCGAAATTACTCACGTAAAAATTTCGTAACTTTCATTACATTAGCAGACGCAGATTCAAAGGTGACCTTGAGACCAATCATCCTATTGAACTAGTTACAATAGACGCTAATGTAAACGTTTAAATAGACATGTGTACAACCGGCTCAAAAGATCAGCTCTTCAACTGAGTTGCTCAGCAACTAAATTTGAAGCTCATGGCTCATTACGACTGCTATCTGATGACAATCATATAGCCCTTTGAGGCAGTTTTTAGAGTTACCAGTAAGCATAAAAAAATGTATGTTGAAAGGAATCAATAAAAGCTTTTTATATTTTATTTATTACTAGCTGTTCCCGTGCGACTTCATCCGCATAAAATTATGAAAATTTTATTTTATTGTTTACATGTGTCAAATCAATAGCAAATGTCAAAATGACATGACGATGTCAAACCATGGCAAACTTGTTTCCTTGATGTTGGCAGCAACTTATGGTCTCTTTCCCACATTAGGGTTTTTACCCAACATATGTACCCCTAAGTTTAATGGCGTGAAAATATATAGCCTAAAGCATGACGTAAGTGTAGGGTTTTTTATTAAAAAAGGATTATTTAAAAATATGCTGGAATTGCTCACATCTTAGGCAACAAAGAAGTGTGTGTTTACGCTTAATTATAATAGTATAGATTTATTATTTTACATGGGTCCCATTGAATCCATCGGTAGACCCTTTCTTCGTAAGGTCGCTATTGTAAACTTTATAGATGTTGACGGTAATGTATGAAATCCATCATTGTACACAATTCCTAGGCAATGTATAATTCCTAAAATCGTTTGGAATTATTAAGAATCCACAAATGCTATTTAACAATTTATTTATAGAAAACATTTTTAATTCCTTACAATTTATAGGAAATGTTTAATTACCAGGATGTGTGTATTTAATAATCTTTGAAACATTTTACACATTGCCAAAACAGCTTCAAATTCTATACTCTTACCAGACATAGTATACAATTCCTAGTCATCACACATTTCCGGTAACATAGACACCAAATAGCTATAATTTTGTTTGAAAACACAATGTGGGCCCCGTTTAAGATTAGCAATTGTAATGCATCAAACGATGTAAACAACTTACTACGCAGAGTCGCATATCGTGAACTGTTTGCCACAAAACATAAGCGACGAGCGATTAACATAGTAGTGGGATTCAAAATATCGCTAATAAAACTGCACATTAAAATGACATCTCTTTACTCTGATTAAAAAAATCAACGATAAAATTATGAATAAAAATAAAGGGCCTATCAATTTTTTTTTTTAATTTGCCAGAAAGTATTCGTTGCATGTTGTTAAGCATTGACGAAAATTGCATGGGATTTGTTGTACACCAATTATTATAGTCGCCTAATACGCTGCACAAATCGAATATTTTTTTAAAGAGATTTTCGTGCTTTTATTCATAAATGTTTCAGTAATTTCTAGGAATTGAATTATTACAAAACGCGAAACTTAATTCCTATAATTCTATTAAGTTAAGATCTTACTGACATGAAACAAAGTCTACTAAGTCCTTAGTGTAGATTTAGTATGTACTTCACACTTAAGGATTGCTTAGGTAATCATTAAAAGACACTGTTAGCAAATGATATTAAAAAAATTTCTAACATAGTTATAGTGAAATCGCTGCTGTTTGTAACTTCGGACACACGTAAACGTGTCCAGAGTGGTAATAAAACATGCGCATGCGATGTTCGCAGTATAAAAACCACTTATATTCAATATACTAAAAATGATTTCCTTGTATTTTTTCCTTTAACTAATTTTTCCCTAGGCAATACTTTTAATATGTTCCTTGACTTTATCCTTTTACTACGAATTTCATTGTCTTTTTAGTATATGGTGGAATTTAGATATAATCAAGTATCTTCATAATAATAATCTTTGTAATTTAACACAGGTCAATCCACGCCTTGCCAGTGCTACTATCTGTACTGGCCAAGTATAAACCAGGCATTACAAACTAGTACGTTGTAAACAGTTTAAGGTTATTTTTTTTAAATGATTCCAAATTTGAAAACATGTCCAACTAGTATAATAAAACCTCTTTCGCTAAATGTAACTGGCACACGATAAAAACGTTCGAAATTCAAAATCCCATAACTGGTATCAGCCTTGACAGCCGTGGACCCGAACAGAAACCTTTAAAGTGCGTTATCTAAGGTTGTGCAATGCAAATCTTGTGCGGGCGTACATTTTGTGTCAGGGGCGTTTATTTACTTTGTTAATGCGTATTGTTCGTGTTTAAAATGGTCTTGTACAGCCCTAATGCATTTACTAAAGATAGCTTAAACCTATCACGATTCATCCAACAAAAACCGATGCGTCGTTTTTTTTTTTAAACGGTTTTATAACGGTAATCCTGATGAGAATTAATATCGTTAAATATATCGTCAACTGTCCTCAATAACTATAAAGTTTTTAATCCGACATCTTGTAGTAGGAGAAATCCTGTTTCAAAGTATCCGTTACACCAGTGAGGCTAATTTTAGCTTGTTTGTTTTATCATGTATACCCAGGGTTTGACGACGATCCCACCTAGATTAGACAGACCAAAGTGAAGATGTGGTCAAAGGATGGTACACACTAGTTCAGTAAGTACCCATTCACACTGCTCTTGAAGGCACCCACGTTATAACTTTGCTGTGCGCACTTGAAACGATGTCTCAAATCGCTTGTTCTAAACTTTTCTAGACTCGACTCTATAAATAGACTTTGATGGCATCATCTATTTGATAGCAATCAAGTCTTTAAAGACCTCAGATATCGATGACGTCATAACAGACTATAGTTTTGGACCTGAAGTCTTTCACAATGACCCACTTTAGACCTCGTAGAAGGTCAACACTACAGGATTGGCAATAATTTTTTCCTAATTTATTTTCAAGTAAAAAGACGTAAAAATTAGGTTTATAAATATTACGTTCAATTTCAAGGAGTCAATGAAAGTTGGTTTAAAACAAAATGGATGGATGGATGGATGTTTGTTAGAGTTTGTAGCCTAAACTGCTGAACGGATTTCGATTAAATTTGGTATAGATGTAGGGGATACTAAGGACACATAGGCTACTCACTATTTTTTTTAATTCCGCGCGGACGGACTCGTCTTCGTAACATATTTTTGCTACAACTTTGAAATCACATTAAAAGAATAATAGTTAGTACAACTTTCACAAATTGAGGTTATAAATTTGGGACAGCCCTATAAAAATCACGTTATAACAGCTAATTGTAGCGCTATAACGCTATCGCGTAGACAATAGCTGACTCAACAGTCCGTGGGCCGTAGTTAACATAATTAACAGCTGTTACTCTTCATTCTTTATAACGAATACAACACAAATGCTAGCATTACGGTAATTTCTTCAATGAGTAAACTCTACTCTACTTTTATATCTATAGCTACATTTCTTTTGTTAAAAAATAGCTTTCGCCCGCGACTCCGTCCGCGTGGAATTAAAAGAAAACGGAGTATCCTATGTGTTCTTCCAGACTATCCTTCCGAAATACGTTCAGCCGTTTAGGCTACAAACTCTAACAAACATCCATCCATCTAAACTTTCGCATTTATAATATTAGTATGAGTAAATGATCTGTAAACAGAAAATATCTACAAGTGTATTAACGCTGTAGGACTTAACTCAATGATTTTTAGGTTTCTTAACTGTCGATTCGTCTGTGAATTTGTGTGCCCTTAACTCAGAAACGGATGAATTTATTTCGATGAGGTTATCGTTTATTTATTGTGGTAAGCATAACTTAAAATGTACTACATATTTCATCTAACTTTGAGCACTTTACAAATCATTGAAAATTTTAATTGAATTTTGATTTCATATCGTAAGTCCTGAGATTTGTTTGTACAACCATTAAAAAGGGATATATAAATGACATATTAAATAATTATTTTCCAGCTATAAAA